CAATAGTCTTTTGTGTGTGTGTGTGGGGGGGGAAATCAGTGCTGCAAGTTCTCAACTCTTATGGTTTCCTTTTGGAAATATGCAGTCACTGAAATAAAACTGCTGTGCTCAATCCTTTTGTGAGGGATTTACTGTACTTCAGAGCCAATATGTATGGCTTTGTTCTCCTAAAAAGATGTAACATTTGCTTTGCTTTTTGATTTAGTAAAAACAAATAATGTAGCATTTTCAGTTAAATTGTCTTTTGGGAATCTATTCTCCCACTGAGATATTATTTTGCCCTGGAAAAAATATATTTATTTATTTATTTAGCGTATGGCATGTCATACGTCATAGGTAGTAACATTTTGCCTAGAAATAGTAAAAGATATAAAATATAAAAGCTTCTTATGTTGAAAAGCATATTTTCATTTCTAGCAACAGCTTTCCTTCTTGTAATGCTAGAAATGAACACAGAACTGCAAGAAAGCAGGACTTCTTTTCTAACCAACTCCAGCAATGAACATTGGAATCATCCACTTTGATCTTTCATGCAAAACAGTGATGAATTTTATTGTGGTTTTGAGTGGTGCTGCTATAAGACGTCTGCAAGCACTTTGCTTTTAAATGCTTGCTTTGATACATTTGTCCCACTAAACATTTGAATGCAGTTGCCAATAACTGAGAATGTTTATATTTTCAGAAGTAAAAGGGCTTTTTTTAAAGGTCCAGTCAAGGAGGCTAATATGCAATTTCTTAAAAGCAGTGTAAATATTTCTCTCACAAGCACATAGTTAAAAAATATTTAATGTTATAGAAAGGAATATACATTTTTTTATCTGAGATATTGAAAAGTTCCTGTCAGCAATGCACAATAATTATAATGGATAAACTATCTTTTATAGGAAGTAACTTCCAAGAGATTCTATAGACAAGATAAATAATGTTGGTTACGACCTAAAAGGTAATCTGCTTTCCATTATCATTCTTTTCTATATGTTTTAGAGTGCCCTGTATATACTGAAGGACAACTTCCCAATTCTTACAAAAGCTACCTTAAACATGGGCTAGTCCCACATGACTGTTGTGCATACCAGATTAAACACTATGCTATGCCACTGCTTTTCTTAACAGGCAAGTCAAGGTGGAAAGAATTTTCTTAAAACATTGAGTTGGAAGCTCTGTTAGCTTCCAACTCCACATAGTTTCCATCTATGCATAGTTTCCTCTATGCAATAAATACCCTATCATTAATTTATTGGACAAGAACTGCAAAATTTGTTCATCGATGTGATGATCCCATATTTTCTGAGCATTCAATATAAAACTTTCACAAGCAGTAGATTACTTGTTGTATTTTGATTACTGGGTGAAAGGTGGTATCTTAGTTTGGAAATCTAGATGCTATTTATTACCGTTGATGCAAAAAGGAAGCAAATGACTCTTTTTTGCTTTCTTGACAACAGCAAGAATAATTAGAAACTGAGTTCCAGATGTTATATGCTGGCATACAGAGAAATTGCTCTAGCCTCCTTCTCATATTGTGATTCCACTGCATGCAATTCCATTTTGTTTCAGAGAAGTCAGACCGGGTGGCTATAATTTTATGTAGTGCAATATATTATAATCACTTGCTGTTTCTAAAAACCTTACCTTAGTGATTACGTTTTGTTTGTATTTTATTCTGGGGGAGAGAGGCTTGTTGGAAAAGTCTGGCGGAACCATTTGGAACAAAAGGCTTGATTGCTATTGTCAATACATCCCGGGCATAATGAAATGAAAGGGAAAAGAATACTTTCCTCCACTGATTAAATTGATTAGCAATTCCTTTGAGAGAGTCTGCTAATGAACTGCCTGTCAGATTTAGAGTAGTCACACTGCCAGCAATAGGAAAGAATTGCTTGAGCCAATCCAGGGCATGATGAGAAAAATAAGCCGTTTTGAAGTACATAATGGATACAAAGATCATAGTGATGTTTGAGCCACAGGAGAATTCAAGAAATCCTGTTATCAGCAGCAGGTTCCCTTTTGAGAAACAGGCAGGTGAACATCTATCTGCATTTTTTCTCTTTAGACCTATCTTTGGTGCAGCCAGGAATCACATTAAACTTTTTGAAATATCATTCCCCCAAACATACAATTAACCTTGAGTCTTGCAGACCTATTGCTTTCCCTCATTTAGTTGGTTGAGCAGTGGCTGAGCTTCATTTCATTTCCATTTCTTTTTTCTACAACCTGCTTTGATGCCTTGGTTCAATTAAGAATATTTTTTCCTATTAAAAAAGCTACTGGGCTGCCCAGCATGATTCCACATTTAGAACGGTATAGCTACAAATCTTTTTTGAACTCTCACTGTTTAGCAGCAAAAATTGTGCCCGTTTCTGATACCCGTTTCTGCAGTTTTTAATGGTCAATTAAGGAACTCACAACTCCCTCCCTCTCTCTCTCTCTCTCTCTCTCTCTCTCTCTCTCTGTCTCTCTCTCTCTCTCTCTCTCTCTGTGTGTGTGTGTGTGTGTGTGTGTAAGAGAGAGAGAGAGAGAGAGATCCTACTTAACAGGCTAAGTGTTGTTTCTACAGGCTCTTTTCAAAGCTATTTGACCAAATTATTTGATCACTGCCCTCTGTAATAACAGTTTTGGCATTCCTTCAATCTCCCCACCAGCATAGCCAGATTTATTCCTGGGAAACCATTTCTTTATGAGTAGAGTAGCAGCATTCTGGATTGTATCCATAAATCAGAGGGCATTGCTTAAGGTTCTTAACGGGCTAGATTTTTTAAAAAAAATTATGAATTTAAGATTTTAAGATAGATGCCTGTATAAAATGCCTATATAAAGCACTTATCAGTAATTTATGAGTAATCCAGAAATGAAGTACTCTTGCTTTATTTTTTCCCTTTTTCTAAATATAGCAGGTTTATTTATTTTCATTCATATTCACCTTTTTCTCTAGAAAAGTGTGATGCAAAACATATGGGAGACCCAGCAATTTTATTGCTAAGCCAACAATCCTCTGTTGTCCATTGGCTGAGAAAAACAGTGCAAAGCTACTCAGGGAAACTTGTGGCCAAGTGGGAATGTGAAACTGGATATTTGAACTTCATTAGATTTCCTTAGTCATCCAATACACTGATATATTTATCCAGTATCTTTATTTTTTCATAGATACTGTTTTCTGCTCAGATTTTTTTCCTATTGTTAAGATTAGAAATTTTAAAATTAGTGCCATTCTTTATGCTTTCCTCTCTTAAAGTTAATTATTGCTTGTCCTGCTCATTTGTCTATGTAAATTGGTGAATCTCCGTGAAAAGTAAAAGCAGTCATATCTGTATGGAACTATAAAAGGAAGAAAAATGTCACAAGAAAAATGTCACAAAATAGTGTGTTTTCTTTTAATCAGGATAGATATTACAAAAACAATGATGTCACTCTTGTCAGAATGTAATTTTCATTATGTGTTAACATAAGCATATATTGTTTTTCAGATTTGTGAAATTTGTGAATTGTGAGAGGAAGTTTGACTATTATTGTTGTTGTTCTTTTAAAAAAAAACTATTTCCTAAATAGAACAGACATCTGTTGTAGACGTGATATGCTCAGATCAAATAACAACTAATGAACTTCAAGTTCTTGCATAATTGGGACTTGTGATTCAAAAACTCCAGTATCGGTCAGTAATTTCAAGTGGCTGAGCAGATCTTGGAGAGCAGACAAAATCAAAAAGGTTAAAAAGATGTTTCTTTTGCAATGATATATATTTAAAAAGTAATCCCTGCTCTTTGACAAAGAAGACAGCATATTAAAAAGCAGAGACATCACCTTGCCGACAAAGGTCTGTATAGTCAAAAACTTTGTTTTTTCCAATAGTAATGTATGCCTGTGAGCGTTGTACCATAAGAAGGCTGTGTGCTGAAATGATGCTTTCAAATTCTGCTGCTGAAAAGACTCTTGAGAGTCCCTGGGATTACAAGGACATCAAATCAGCCAATCCTAAAGGAAATCCCTAAAGGAAATCCTGACTGTTCTTTGGAACAACAGATACTGAAGCTGAAGCTTAAATACCCTGGCTACCTAATATGCAAAGAGGATGTTGGGAAAGATTAAAAGCAAAAAGAAGGGATGGCAGAGGATGACATGGTTAGATAGTGTCATCAACATAATGGACATGAATTTGGCAAACTCAGGGAGACAGTGGAAAATGGGGGGGGCTACCATGCTATGGTCCATTGAGTCGCGGAAGGACAGCATGACTTAGCAACTGAACAACTTTGACAAAGAAAGCATGCCTAGAGAATAAAATTGCAGGAACTGCGCCAAATGTATCTTCCTATAAAAGGTAGCATTTTTTGTTTCTTCATCTGAATACCAAATACCTTTCTTGCTTGAAAATTGTGGGTGTGATGTGAAAATTGCCTCATTTTTGAAATTTTTTCTTTTAGTTTTGGAAAAAGGAAATAAAAAGGAAAACTTCTGTTAAAACGTTGAGGAAAGCAGCTTTCCTCTCTTTATGCAATACTGCAACTACAAACATTTGTACAGGTAGATATACAGAAAAATACACCTGCGGGAGCAAAGCAAAGCAGACTTGTTGGCTAGGCACGGAAGTTCTTGTATTCTAATGTGATGCTTCTGAGGTTTGCCCAGCACTTCTTTGTAATATTGTCATTTGTATTGACTTTCTTAATTTGATTTATGTTGGTGGCTGCTACTGTTAACGATCGGGGCTACTTTTTGGAAATGCTTCTATAAATGGAGGCAAAAAATAAGGCAAAGACTTATCTCAGTTCAGCTGCACTCTTAGAGATGGTCTCGACACGGTCAATGCCTTTTCTTGATTTTTTTTTTTTCCAAATTCCTAGTCTACCTTATGGCTCGTTCCGTTGAAAAAGTTTGCTTATCTTCTAAGAAAAGATCCTTCGTTAAAACTCATTTACACCCAGGAAACAAGACGCATGCTCACTCGCGCCTCCAGAGTCTTAGAAGAGGCGCCCACCTACGGTAGCACCTCCGCTCTCGGTACTGGAGGCGGGGCCATGATGGCGGGGAGGAAGACGAGAAGGGGGCGTGGCTGGCTCAGGGAGCACCGCCCATCCAGACCCGGGGAACTCGATTCAGGCAGGGAAGAATGGTTGAAGAGAAGCGCAAGCCGAGCTGCGAGGGGGCGGCGGCGGCGGCGGCAGCGCCCGAGGATGGATCCGCCTGAGGTGTGGGACCCTTATAGCCGGCCGGCCCGCCGAACCCAATGGCTGGTGAGCGCCTTGGCTTACCACTACGGGCTGGACCGGGGAGTAGAGAACGAGATCATCGTGCTGGCCACGGGCTTGGATCAGTACTTGCAAGAGATCTTCCACCACTTGGACTGCGAAGGCGAAGGCAAGATCCCCGGCGAGGACTACCAGACCCTCTGCTTGGTGCTGGGGCTGCAAGACGACGACGAGGCGGCCGCCGACCCGGAGGAATGCGCCGGCCTCTGCGAGAACCTCTCGCCCGAGCTGACTTTCCGACAGTTCCACGCCAAGTTGTGCGGCTACTTCAGCACTAAGGCCGGCTGCAAAGCGCCGGACCAGGGCGTCCCGGGGGTGAGCAGGCTACCTCTAGGCAAGGAGAGCGAGCACATCGAGACCCAGATTCGCCTCCGCAGTCCGCTTCGCCGCCGGCGGGAGCAAGCTGCGGCGGGGCGCAGGGCGGTGGGCAGAGGCTGCCCGGCGCGGAGCAGCAGCGCTCGGTCGTGCTCCTCCTCGCCGCCCGGGTCGTGCTCCCGGGAATGCTACGAAGAGATCGTGGCGCTGGAGCAAGCGGAGGATCGCATCGTCAAGCTGGAGGAGGAAAATGCCAGCCTGCGCGAACTGGTGGAGGACATGAGGGCGGCTTTGCAGAGCAGCGATGCCCGGTGCTTGGCGCTCCAGGTGAGCGGGCGGGGAAGTCCTGTTGCGCAGCGGAGCCCGAAGGGATCAGAAAGAGCGCGTCTTGGAGCTGCTGAGCCTTCCTTGCCGGACCCCGGTTACACTGCCTGGGTGGGCGTGAAGGCCCCAAGCTGAGCCCCCAACCATTCCCGAGTGTTCTTAATTAAACGCTTTTCAGACGAGATTGCAGTGGGGTGTGATAAATCCTGAATGACATAGATGCTCACCCAAAAGTTGGCCACTAGTCTGCTCTGGGAAAGGGCACCTGAAGACAGGAGGAAGGGAAAGGGTACTGGAGAATGTCCTAAATGCCTTCCTGAGCCCTATCTGCCCTTCGGGGTAGTGAGGTGGCTGCCTCAGGCTGCACATTTTGGATGTGGTGAAGTTCAGCAAACTAATAGTTTACCTTGTTAGTTAGCAATCTCATTTGCAGCCAGGGATGGGAAAGATGTTGCAGCCAATTTAAATGTTCAGAAGTGTGTGTATTGGGGGGGGGGGGGACACACTGGTATTTCTATTTTCTTTCAGGACAACTTAAAGGAGAATGGGGAAATTTTGGGAACCAGCCCTCCCCTGGCAAACAAGGGGAGAAATATGCTGTGGGATGGTCTATTATTGTGTATAAAGCATGCACTTTGACTTAGGTGGGTTTCCGTGAACTGCCAAAGTCAACCCTTATCATTATGACATACTAAGGAGTGAGTTTTATTGCCATAGTGGGATATTATAAGTGAAGGGGAAAGAGTAAATTGTGACAAAGAAGCAGCCCTGTTTTTTCTAACAAGTCATATGGAGAGTGCAGCTCCTTTATTTATAGGGGTGTATTGTTTGGTGTTGACATATTTTGAGTAATGCAAATTCTAATTGACCAAGAAAATAGCAGTGATAACTTCAAAAGTCCTGATTTCTATCCATCCTCGAGGGTTAGCAAACATTCTTGCGATGGGAATCATTCTAAAAAGTTTGTAACTTTTTAATTTCCATTCAAACCTGGTTCTCTTTATATTGTGTTGAGTTGAAAAGATTACGCAACAAAGATTGCTTAAAATCACTGACAGCTATTGGCTTTGGGGCTGATGCACAAATATTTTGCTTAGCTTTTGTCTTCTTTGAAATCTTGTTAGTCAGTGGCAAAAGGACAACATGGCACATAAACATTGTGGTCTTCATATATGATATAAATGACAGCACTCTACTAGAAATTCAGAGAAGCATGTTTCAGATGCTGTGTGGCTACTTCAACACTAAGTTGCCGGCAAGCTGTTGGACCAGGACGTCCCAAGAGCTGAACAGGATTTGCGGTCAGCGGGAGCAAACTGTGGCAGACCCAGGGAGAGCAAAAATCGGTTTAGAATAATTTCAATTGACTGCCGTTATGTTTGCAAGTTTTGCAACAAAATAATATTAATATTTATCTTTGATTGTCCAGTCAAAGATAAGCACTTCTGAAGTTTCATTCTGAAGCACTCAAACACAGCTTTACTGACTTCAATGTATTTCTGAATAAGTGTAATTTTGGTTGCACTGGAAAATTCATTGACTTCAGTGGGAAAATCCTACCTATGACTCCACTGAAGGTATAATAATAAAGCATAGTTCCCCAACCTTTTCAGCTTTGTGGATCAGGAGGGGGGAAGGGGTGGTTCTGTGTGAGCAGCAGGCCGGCCTGCTCGCCTGCTGTTCGCACAAATGGGGATGTTGTGCGCATATGCTCGCCCACCACTTCCATGGCCCATTTCTGAATGGCTCAAGGCTTGGAGGTAGGCTGTGGCCCAGGGATTGGGGACCCCTGAAAAAAAGTATGGAGGGAAAAGATGAAGAAAGAACATGAATTTTCCTATTGAAACAAGATATACTGGGGAAAGTCAGATAATATTAATATTTGAAGACTTGCATTCATTTTCATTCCTCCACATCTTTTCAATAACAAGGAGATGGATACTTTTTAATATAAAAAAGGTTGGGTCCTTACCATGATAAATAATTTCATGATTTTAATATAACTTCAATGCAGAATTAAATACGCTGGCTTTAGTGGATTTAACAATTCAATTCCATTTACATGCCCATTAAAATTTAATTGTCGTTAAGGTCAGTAGTCTTTGTTCACAGATAGGTAGGTAACATAAGCAGAAATCTGTCTGAAGCAGCTGTCTAATACAGATCTATTTCACTTTGAAGCATTTTCTTTGATACGCTTATATTTTGGAATAACTCTGTGACTTAGTAAGTAAGCAGATACATCTTTTCCAATAAATCACTTTATCCACTTCTACTTTTAATTGCTCTCTAGGTGCATCTGGAGATGCATATATTCCTACCAAAAGCCAAAGACTTACGATATATGCAAATTTTACATTTTCACTATGTTTTTGATGGATCTACTCATCAGGGAAGTTCCATCTTGTCTCTTGTCTTTTCCCCTGGCTCTCCTATTCATTTTGTCTCTACTACTTGTAGTAACATGACTCCTTATACTCCATATTCCCCCCCCCATCTCTTCTTCCTTTAAGCTGTTCCTAGAATTCTCTTGGGCCATCCAAGAGTTCCAAATAGTACACCTACCATGTTTTTGTTATGGGATCCCCCTGTCAGGCAAAACAGGAAATTATCTTTTATTATATCCTGTCAGCTTTGTAATACTGGCCAGATCTTGCTGCTGTACAGCATGCATGGAACAGAACAGCTTTATATATATAGCCAACCCATCAACAACTCAAATGCTAGCTAATAAGTCATTTTCATTATTGGCTTGTTTTTGTGAAGCACTATATTACTTTTTTTATGTAACACTTCATTTTATTTTAATATGCTGTTGCAGCATGAATCTAGATTTAGCAACAGTTTTGATACATAAATAAATGAATAAGTCCAACTATAGCATAATGCTTCAGCTGGATGACATACTCTATTTTGAAGTCACAATTTTATCTCATTTGTTTGACTTATGGATAACTGTTGATAGCTCTTGCTAACCAGAACGAATTTCTGCTCTTTTCATCCATCACCTACTGATGGCCCACTATCCCAGGGGTGTCAAACTCCCAACATCACGTGACGTATCTCAATGTATCACAACTTTTTCCCCATTGCCAGCAATGGGGTGGGCGCAGTTTCGCCATGACTCATCCAGCCCCCGGGCTGGCAGTTGACACCCCTGGTCTATCCTAAGAACCAACTTTCTTTCTTCAGCTTCTTCCTGTCAAGGAAAGAGAACTTTAACTATGTACTCCTCCTCTTTGAATTCATTGCAGTAATGCAATGGTTTGGAAGGGAATGGGATTATTTCTGCTTTTCTTTCTCCACTCTACTATTTTTGGGAACACCTATATGTATATTTCCTGTGTATGCATGGGCGACTTCTGCGTGATGGCTATGCCTGCACTGCCCAGAGTCATATTAGTGAAATAGGCAGCATAGAAATCCAATAAATAAATAATACAGGTTACTTACATTCACTAACAGTATAGGCGATATCAGTATGTGAAAAAGCAAAATTTAGAACACGCATGAAGAACACAGAATTATACATTCCCTTTCATAAAATAAACTGTGCACACATGGGAACAAGGACAGTGAGAGAAATCCTTTTCCTCCTCTGCCCCCTAACCATAATACTATAAGGAGTCCTTTGTCCCCTACAATACTTCCTCCCCCAAAAGAACCATTGACCATTCGCTCTAGGATACCCATCTAGTATCTTCACTTGCTTTCAGTTCTGTACAGTTTTAGAGAGGTTTTGGAATGTGTTGAAGAAGCTCTGGATATCCTTATGAAAAAAATGCTGAGTTTGAGTAATAGTGATGTTGGATTGAGTACTATGCTTTTCATGATTTCTTGATGCCTTCAACATCCCTTACTGAAAATACAATAAGGCACAGTTTTTCAAATATATTACCTTAATGAAGACAATATTGGTATAAGCAAGAGTTTGTTTTTTATACTATGCACTCTTAGCTATGTATTCTACTTGTTGATACTTTAGTAACTTCTAGAGCAGTCTTCTCGGGCTTGGTGATCTTCAGAGGCATTAGATATCAGCTCCCATAATTCACAGTCAGCAATGTGGTACACTTCAGGTACAGCATTAGATAGGATTAGAATGAAAACTACTCAACCTTTCACAATGTCCTATTTTACCAAGAAATTAAGAGCCACTTAAGACTACAGTTTCTCTTGATAAGCATTCATACTTACACTGGCATATATTTTATAATACAATTTTATGCGTCTTGACTCAGAACCAAATGCACCTTTCGGTGAGGTAACTGGATTCATGATTACAATCTTAATGCATGATGCTGCCACTCAACCTTGTTTGTTTAATCTGCACCTAAATTTTCATTGGGAAGCAGAGTCATGCAATCTAGGTAACCAAAATGGCGGTAAATTCTATTTAAGAATATGCACACAAGAATTCCTGTGTGAAATAATGCAAACAGAAGGCATGATGGGCACTTGCGTGTTTGCTTCAGCCATTGGATGATGATCATTTTTCAGCTACTGATACATTTGTTGAAGACAAATGTATTAATTGCATTGAGAAGAAATGTGTTTGTTTAAAACCTTGACTGCTCCTAATCAATATTTTGTTTTTTCATTTTGCTCCTGATGATTGTAGGTGGGATTGTGGAAGAGCCATGCACAGCATAAGGAAAATGGGACTTGCTTTATAGGCAGCCGGAGACAACAGGTTAACAATAGATTTCAGACTTCCAAGTGCCTTCAGAGTGTTCTAAAGGAAGTTGAATTAATCCGAACTTCTAGAGATGGACAAATTGAAGAAGCAATTAGATTTAACCAAGAACTGGAAAAAGAACTAAGGAACTCTCATGAAGCCCTCATGGCCCTGGAAGGTTGCAACCACAGCTTAAAAAGAGAAAAGGCAGAAATGAGGAAGAAAGTTGAAGAAGCGAGATGTGTTGTCCTTAACAGCCTTGGAAAAGTAAAGGAGCTAGAAACTAAAGCCCATAAAGTGTCCCAACTGCAGACCTATATCCAGCAGCTAGAATCTCAGCTACAGTATTATAGGTAAGGCCGAAAGTTTAAAACTAAATAAATATAACAGACTGAATGCAAATGTGGTTTTGGAACCCTTGCTGAAATGTGGGTAGAGAATTAGCTGCTACAGTACTTAGTTATTTTCTTAGTAGGGACTCATTGCAAAGCTTTACTTATCTTCTCTCTAGTTAATGTAGCAGCAAACATGATTTCCTAGTAACAGCAGAGACCACCAAAGGAAATCCCAAAATGCCATTGACAAAAGTTAGCAGATGTCAACAGTCTAATTTAGCAGGCATTATTAACAGTATTGAGGCAATTGATGTTTAGAAAGGGTAACTTGTAATCTAATGGGAGAGGCCTTTGGGAAAAGAAAAACACAGCTGGTAAGCATTAAGGGCATTGGTTATCTGCAATGCAACTTGATTATTCTGAGCTTCAAATTATTATTAGTTCAACACTGCACTTTTAGATTTCTCTTGCTTTGGTACTGCATAGCTTTTCTTTAAGCCATTCAAAAAGTATTTCAAGTAATATGTCAAGTGCTTGGTCCAAGATGCAGTGGTGGTTATGCTATTTAAGGTTTGTAAGCAAATGCCTTGTAAAATAATTTTCAGAATTAAACAACATTCATAGCCTTGTCAGCTTTGCCATCTGCTACTTTCACAATAATAGTTATTGGGGCTTCATATATAGTAATAGTAATAGTAGTAAAGTTGGAAGGGACCTTGGAGGTCATCTAGTCCAACCCCCTGCTCAGGCAGGAAACCCTACACCATTTCGGACAAATGGCTGTCCAGTCTCTTCTTAAAAACTTCCAGTGTTGGAGCATTTACTGCTTCTGGAGGCAGGCTGTTCCACTGATTAATTGTTCTCACTGTCAGGAAGTTTCTCCTTAGTTCTAGGTTGCTTCTCTCCTTGATTAGTTTCCACCCGTTGCTTCTTGTCCTGCCTTCAGGTGCTTTGGAAAATAGCTTAATTCCCTCTTCTTTATGGCAGCCCCTGAGATATTGGAATACTGCTATCATGTCCCCCCTTGTCCTTCTCTTCGTTAAACTAGACATACCCAATTCTAGCAACCGTTCCTTATATGTTTTAGCCTCCAGTCCCCTAATCATCTTTGTTGCTCTTCTCTGTACTCTTTCTAGAGTCTCAACATCTTTTTTACATCGTGGTGACCAAAACTGGATGCAGTATTCCAAGTGTGGCCTTACCAAGGCATTGAAGAGTGGTATTAATACTTCACGTGATCTTGATTCTATCCCTCTGTTAATGCAGCCTAGCACTGTGTTGGCCTTTTTGGCAGCTGCAGCACACTGCTGGCTCATATTTAGGTGATTGTCTACTAGGACTCCGAGGTCCCTCTCACAGTTACTACTATTGAGCATGGTGCTACCTATGCTGTACTTGTGCATTTGGTTTTTCTTGCCTAAATGTAGAACCTTGCTTTTTTCACCATTGAATTTCATTTTGTTAGTTAGTGCCCAGTGTTCAAGTCTGTCCAGATCCTTCTGTATCTTAAGCCTGTCTTCTGGAGTGTTGGCTATTCCTGCCAGCTTGGTGTCATCTGCAAATTTGATGAGTTCCCCATCTATCCCTTCATCCAAATCGTTGATGAAGATGTTGAAGAGTACTGGGCCCAGAACAGAGCCCTGGGGCACCCCACTACACACTTCCCTCCATATAGATGCAGTTCCATTGAGGACCACTCGCTGAGTACGGCCGGTCAGCCAGCTACGGATCCATCTGGTGGTGGTTCTGTCTACCCCACATTTTTCTATCTTGTCAAGTAGTAGGTTGTGATCTACTTTATCAAATGCTTTACTGAAGTCCAAGTAAATTATGTCCACAGCATTCCTCTGATCCACTAATTTTGTCACTTGGTCAAAGAATGCAATAAGATTTGTCTGGCATGATCTATTTTTGACAAACCCATGTTGGCTTTTAGTAATGACTTTGTTTGCCTCTAGGTGTTCGTTGATTCGTTGTTTGATTATCTTTTCCAGGATCTTCCCAGGTATTGAGGTCAGGCTGATAGGTCTGTAATTTCCTGGATCCATTTTTTTTCCTTTTTTGAGGATGGGAACTACATCAGCTCTTTTCCAGTCCTCTGGTAGTTCCCCTGTGTTCCAGGATCTTTGAAAAATATAGTTCAGTGGCTCCAATATCACATCTGCCAGTTCCTTGAGAACTCTGGGATGTAATCCATCTGGTCCTGGCGATTTGAACTCATCTAGGCTGGACAGGTGCTCACTAACCATTTTCTTGCCTATCTTAACTTGTGTTTCTATTTTGTTTTTTATGGCACTATTTTTGATAGGTTGGTCTATTTTTTCCCTTTGTGTAAAGACAGATGCAAAAAATGAGTTAAATAGTTCTGCTTTCTCCCTGTTGCTTGTCACCTTCTTGCCACTTCCACCCACTAATGGACCAATCATTTCCTTCACTTTTTTCTTGTTTTTTTACATGTTGAAAGAAGCTTTTTTTGTTATTTTTGACTTTGGTCGCAAGCCTTAGTTCACTTTGAGCCTTGGCTTTCTTCACTTCATCTTTGCAGGCTCGGGCTATTTGCTGATATTCTGACTTAGTTATGTTCCCCTCTTTCCACTTTCCATACTTGTCCTTTTTATCTTTCAATTTGTCAGAGAGTTCTTTATGCAGCCATGCTGGTTTCTTTTGAGAGCTGTTGTTTTTCCTCTTTGTTGGTATTGTGCTAGACTGTGCTTTTATTATCTCATTTTTCAAAATTTCCCAAGCTTCTTGAGTTGTTTTCCCCTTGAGGATTCTCATCCATGGAATCCTTCCCAAGCCCTCTCTAAGTTTATTGAAATTAGCTCTATTGAAGTCCAAGACTCTAGTTTGACTGTGTTCTATTGCTTGTGCTTCCATAATGTTGAATTCCAATATTGCATGATCACTTCCTCCCAAGGTTCCTATGGCTTCAACACCTTCTATCATTTCATCTCTGTTAGTGAGAATTAGATCCAAAATGGCTAATCCCCTAGTTCCCTTCTCTACTTTTTGGGAGACAAAGTTGTCTGCTAGGTTTGCCAGGAACCTGTTTGATCTTCCACTTTGTGCAGAGTTTGTCTCCCAGTTGATGTCAGGGTAGTTAAAGTCCCCCATTACTATTGTGATGTGCTTCCTACATACCTTAGTTAGCTGACTAGCAAAAAGTTCATCTATTTCCTCTGTTTGGGTGGGTGGTCTGTAGTATACACCTATGGCAATGTCATTTTCCCCCCCTTTTATATTGACCCAAATGCATTCAAGACAGTTTTTATCATTGTTGTGCTCTATTTCTGTGAAGATGTAGTTATTTCTTATATAGAGAGCAACTCCACCTCCTCTTTTATTTGGTCTGTTTCTTTTAAATAATTTAAATCCCTCTAGCTGTGTGTTCCATGTGTGGGTTTCATCCCAACATGTTTCCGTAATGGCAACAATATCGTATCTGCCCTCATTAACCTGAATTTCTAGTTCACCCTGTTTGCTGTTCATACTCTGTGCATTGGTGTATAAACATTTGAGTCCTTTGTGAGTGGCCCTGTGTTTCCTTTCTACATAACCTGTGTAGTGCCTGAGTTCCCCTATTGTCTTACCACCTATTTGGTTAGTGCACTTTATGTGGCACTCGCTATTAGAGGCTTCATAGCAAGGTTGGTATTCTTGTCCACACACACATCCATGCTACATGCACTGATGTTCAACTTTATGACATAAATTAATCATCTGATTTGATATGTAGATTTGAGTAATAATTTCTCCATCTATAGTCAATATGGGAAAAAAAACCCTCAAAAGTGATACTGAGAAATAGGGTCACAATACTACCTTGATAGGTATATTATATATTAGAACTGCCCGGTATTGTTTTCAGCTTTGCCTGCTGCCCCTGGTAAAGAAAGCTAATGCAAAAGACTGCAATAGGGGGCAAAAAAGGGTCATACTGAGGAAAGCAATGATGTGATGTTGTAACGCAAGCCTTTCCTTTTTTTCTGAGTGCAGCACAACATCTCACGCCCATCTAAAGGGGCAGAATTTCCACTGCAACACCACAATGCTGCTTTTGTCCTTTTCATGAAAGCAGCAAGATCCTGTGGACATTGCTAACCAAAAGCTGCTTCCACACCTGTAACTGAAAAGTAAAAGTATCTCTATAGCAGCATTTCTCAGCCTTGGCAGTCTTAAGATGCTATCTGGAGAATTCTGGGAGTTGAGGTCTATACATCTTAATGTTGCCAAGTTTGAGAAAAGCTGCTTTATAGTAAATATGCATTACTAAAATTGGGCTGTAAAATAGAACAATCAGTACTTGGTGTCCTTCCATGCATGGTCTTACCTTTTTAATGAATAGATCTATTAATGTATTTTTGTTGCTTCCTTTGGGTGAAATCCATTAAAATAGACTTCATGGATTTCATGGACATCTCTGTGTGAATATACAGGTGATATACTATGTTTGAAAGAGGTATTTCATTATGTATTCTGTGTATTTATGTGTTATAGGTATGACCAGGTGCTGAATGTCTAAGACTAAATTTGATGATGCATGTGTTCCTTTCGTTATAGTTGGCATTGAATTCTAGCCTCTCAGTTTACCTTAAAGCAGGGGTCTTCAAACTTGGCCCTTTTATGACTTTTGGACTTCAACTCCCAGAATTCCTCAGCCAGCTTGCCTGGGAGTTGAAGTCCACAAGTCATAAAAGGGCCAAGTTTGAAAACCCCTGCCTTAAAGCAACAGTGAGGTTAATTATAAGAAGTCCATGCTACATAACCGCTCAATAAAGTTTTGTTCAAGATATAGAATATTAGAAAACAAAGCCAGGAATATGATTAAGCAGTCGAATAGTTGGCTTTTTAAATGCTGAATCTAACAAGGAAATCATTTTACAGTTTTTTTCTAATCATGAGAACAATACTTACATTGTGTTGTAAAGAATATATTAGAGCAACGTGTAACAATATTCTAAGCAAGCACCAATATTAAAATTTCATTCAGTCCTATTGAAGCCTGGAAGGGTTATTGCTGCAATAAACCATAATAGGCTATAATCTATGGCAGGGACCCCCAACCTCCAGTCCAGGGACCAGCACTGGTCACAGCATGCCAGAAACCCGTCTGTGCAAACAAGCAAAGCCCCATACGCGGGATGCAGGAAGTACATGAAACTCCACTCCAGTCTGCGGAAAAACCTCTCTCCACAGAACTGGTCCCTGTTGCCCAAAAGGTTGGGGGCCACTAATCTATGTGAACTGATCCAAATACCATTGATATGTTATATGAATATTCTGTTTTATTTTTCCATCTTACTGTGATGCTCAAAAGTAACTATAAATACTTTTGGTAGCTTAAAATAGCCATTTCCTTTGTTATTCTGTTAGTTCCTTTCCAGTTATTTTATAGGGTTTCAGAATGAGTTATTTGCATTGTCAAGTTATTGTGTCTAAAGTTGGAGATTGGTTTAAAAATAATAAGTCATTGTCATTTTTATTGCTATTATAAGTGTGTGTGTTTTTTTAAAAAAATATTTGGTAAAATATAGATATAAAAAACACCCTAAATGTTGCTTTTTTCCTGCCATGCATTGATGCTTTTGTCATTGACATGTTGCTTCTCCTAACTTACATTATTGATGAATTCCATTGCTGTTACTAGAACTTGATTCATATTACAATTTCAAATGAGAATTAAGAACTACCTTTACATCATGAGGAAGGGAGGATTTATAAACAAGTACATAGCCCTCTTGGTATTTACAGTAGGAATCAGATTTAGTCTTGGATTCTTGCCTACTAGTATGCTTTTCCAAATTTTAATTGTGCATGAAGTTCATCCTTTTGGGAAGGGAGATGGGCTAATTTAATAAATAAATATGGACCCAGGCTTGCTCAGGAAGAACTTTTCAGAAAAACACCAAGATGACAATCCACAACTGGGATTGTCACATGTATAAAACTTATGATTAAAAGCAATTCCTTGCAATGAGACGTCACTGTGTGTTCAGTCTTCTTTTGGAAGGCATTTGAATGGACTGAAGTGTAAAATGCAGAATATGATTCCAGTAATTTAATCCTGTTTTTAACTACCCTGTAAGATACTATAAGTGCTTTTTAAATAGAATAGGAAAATAAATTTATTGATGTAAATCAGATGCAAAGTGTTTAATTTAATGAAAGAAAGTAACAAGAAGATGGAGGGAAATTTTCCTTCATAAAATGTAGGATTGTGGAAGAAAATTATAGGAAATGTTTTTCCCTCTATATCACACTTCTTTGTTTATTTTATTTCTATTCTGTCCAGAAGCCAAAATTAGTCTAGGGCAAGTGGGGCCCACATATTTATTTCCATTTTTTTCTCATTGTGGAAATATTCTTCCCCCTCTGTTCTGAAACAATTTCAACTTTCACTATTGGAGGATGAGGAGAGAGAAAACAGGATATACAAATAATTTACACTTCTTTTTGTGCTGCTTTAGTGTTGTGCAATTTTGTTCCAAGAGAAGCATTCAAGTTACCCTTACATTTTTCTTTATACATTTATTTCTGATGCAAAGATTATAGTTTCAGATATCACAAATGAAGCAGAGCAGGACAGTCAAATGGTCCAATCTCATTTCCCAAAGTTCTAACTCTTAACAATAGCCCAGTCTGAGTTGTTGGGATTTTTTTTGTTTTTTGCAGTGTGAGGTTCATTTCTGGCTCAAGATTTATGTATCTTTTTTTTGTTGTTGTTTAAATTATTGTGAGGTACTGTTTGCAGTTAATCTTTTGTTCTTTAATTTGTCCACAGAGCTTAAATCTGCCTAAGCATCACAGGGATAAGATGAAAGGAAATCGAGGGATTGCTTCATCCATCTGCTAGGTCCATATTGGATAGAAGGTTAGAGAATAATGTTAGGAGAAGATATTCAGGTTATTTCAATACCATCTTTGGGTACAATTTAGAAGGGACCTTGGAGGTCTTCTAGTCCAGCCTCCTATTCAAGTAGGAGGACATATACCATCTCAGACAAGTGACTGTCTAGCCTCTTCTTAAAAATCTCCAGTGATGGAATGCCCACAATTTCTGGAGGCAAGCTGTTCCACTGGTTAATTGTCCTCACCGTCAGGAAGTTTCTCCTTAATTCAAGGTTGCTTCTCTCTTTGATCAGTTTCCAACCATTGTTTCTTACCCTGCCCTCTGGTGCTTTGGTGAATAATGTGACACCCTTTTCTTTGTGGCAGCCCCTCAAATACTGGAATACTGCTATCATGTCTCCCCTATTTCTTCTTTTCTTAATGTTGACCAGTTAATTACTTTATCTAAGGAATTACATTCCATAATGTTTGTATTCTGAGTTTGTAATGAGGGATTCAGAGCAAGTTGTTACATTTCTATTCTTGCTGTGGAGATTTTTCATTCTGTGATCCTTGCTCTCGAGATTTTTTGTGCTCCTTTAGAAATTGTGTCTTATAAGCAGCTGTAATAGGATGAAATAATACCAATATATAACTTATCAGGAAATTGGCTTGGTAGCTTAATATCAGCCATAGGATTAAAGGTTATTTCATGACATACTCATTCAGGATGCAAAACAAATGATTTAAAGAATAGCATTGTTCTGAGGATCTCAGCTTGGCCAGGTATACCCTTAAAAGTTTGATTTCATATAGCCTGGTAAAGACCTTCAAGGAAATGGCTGAAAATTCAGAACTATCAAGATTAAAAACTGATTGTTTCCAGTGGCTTGCAAGCTTTTTTCTGTCAGTTTATTTCTTTGCAATCAAATCATCCCAAGTACACCTGATTACCCAACCAGGACTCACACACCATAATATAGGTAAATTAGCATTTATAAAGTAGGTACATTAGCATTCATTGGCATCCATATGGCCTGGACCTAAGAAAAGTACATAACTGCTTTTTGTACTTGAAACTTTGTCAGCTGTCCTACCTACCTCACTTGTTCCTGGAAAAACTACCACTTCCATAACACTGCAAAGAAAATTACATTCATCCAGATAAATGAATGCTCTCTCATCTTCAGTAAGACATCTTCTGAATTGCTTAATGCGCAGTTATAATGGCAAAAGTATTTCCTATCAGCAGACTTCACACCAGTCACAGCAATAAATATCAACTGTCCAGAAACTAAGTTCCATATTCAATAATAGCACAAACTTCAGGGGCTCATTATAGCTAGATAAGTTGTTTTACTGCAGACAAGAAATAGTAGATATTTATCACATTTGCATGCTGTTTACTGCTTATTGTAGAAGAGCTGCATATTGAAGAATTAGGAATCAAATGTTTGTCAGCCACAGGTTTAAATCCTGGGACAACGTCTCCTGTGCTTTTAAGTTAAGAGATTTTGGGCTGTTTTTTTTTCCCCCCATACTCTTGAAAATCAGAAAAATCTCTTCCAAGTTTACAAAATGCTTCTATATGGTCTGAGAATCAATGGCTTATGTCTTGCCACCTTCAACCTTAATCAATAATAAGGCCCTAAGCCTATGGGACTTTCTTGCTCATTTAAATTTTGTCTGATGAACAGCTGGCAAACTCTGTACTTTAGACCAGATGGCAACCTAGCTGAATGTATTTTGCATAAATTGCCATTTCCAGGCACTTTTCAAGAGTATGCTGTGGTAGTTAATTAGGCAATGTAACAGGGTGTGGATAACTACAGCCAAATCCCACCGACTCAGAGCAATCAGAAGTGGCATACTAGTTATAATGTACAAAAAATATACCCAGTCTATTATCAAATTTCAACCATGTTCAAGTGGTTCTGTGGATCAATTGTAAGTAGTGATAGAGCCAAAAGCTAGATAGAGGCATTATCGTTATCAACATCCCATTGGCTCCCTCTTTTGCTCCATTTCTACAAGGAATTATACCGGTAAGAGAGATCACAGTGATCTTGCCACTATCCAGCTTCTGGCATAAGTCATTCATCAAAGTGACCAAAACAGGTTTAAGTGACATAACCAATTATTTAAGTGAATGGATATTCTTAAAAAGAGTATAATCTACTAGACTGACTATCATGTTTTCAACTTGCAGGGATTATTCATTGTTAGTCTTATATGTTTAATGTAAAGACTGCTTGAAGTAAACAAAGTAAAAACTTTTGCACAATGCCATAATTTTTAAATTTATGAAAATTATGATTAGTGGAGTATCTTTTTGGAAGAAAGACTGCCAAATGTCTTGCTATCCTCCTTTCTTTTCCTTTTTTTCTTTTTTCACAACATATTGTGGGGTGACATATTGCTTAACATTCAGTGAATTGGGGCAATTCCATGGAAACACAATATAGTATCACCCACAATTCTCAGTGTTCATTGAAGCAGACCTACATTTGCACAGTCTGAGAGATTCCAGAAGCTTGTGTGGGAGCTGTTTGTCCTGCATATTGTAATTGTCACTTAGCAACCAACATTGTGATGCACAATTTATGTAGGCTGAGATACCAAGGTCTATGAGCTGTGGAGTGGAAAGGAGGGGTAAAATCCCCCACAATAAGAAAACCAAAGGTAGTCTATCACAGTATGAGTGGTAGATTTTTTTATCTAACAAAGAATCTACTAGAATTTTTTTTAATGTTACATTTCTATAATTGTTATAATAATTATACCATATGTAATTATACATATGTGTACCATATGTATAATCTCTTGGAAATGAAAGCCATTTTTTCTTATAAATATATGGGTGTTTTTTGTTTAATTTAATATTTAGACAATTTAAAGCTGATTTTGAAATTCCATCCTATACTCTGACATGTAGTAAGGACCATGTACATTTTTCAATTTAGTGTGTGGCTTGCCAGGTTTTTTGGCAAAAGGTCTTTTTTTCCCTTTGCATTTGAAGTATTTTGTTCTCTCTCTACCATAAAAACTAGAAATACTACTTACTACTACTACTACTACTACTAATAGTTGGGATCTTGGAGGTCATCTAGTCCAACCCCCTCCTCAGGCAGGAAACCCTATACCATTTCAGACAAATGGTTGTCCAGTCTCTTCTTAAAAACTAAGAACTGAAGTACTGTTGTCCATTCTGGATTTTAACATTCATTGCTAAGCAGCATTTAGTAGCTCTATGTTGTTCTGACTAGGTCAGTGGTTCTCAACCTTTTTAATGCCGTGACCCCCAACCGGTCATAAGTCGAGGACTACTCAACCGGTCATAAGTTGAGGACTACTCAACTGGTGCAGCACCGTTTGCAGAATGGGACTTTTGGCGGGCTCAGCAGGGCAAAGACAGCCTGGACAATTCCTATTGGCTTTTGAAAGCCGATAGAATTAGACTCTATTCAAGAGAGTCTATTCTATTGGCTTTCAAAAGCCAATAGAATAAAAGGGAGTAGCACAGCTAAGGAAAAGGGGAAAAAATGGCGGACTACGTTGTTTGGCGACCCCCGTGAAATGGTCGTTCGACCCCAAATGGGGTCCCAACCCACAGGTTGAAAACCACTGGACTAGGTGATAATAATGCAATTCTAAATGCTAAAAAGATTTAGTACTAGAATATATTTCTGATATGTTCAGTGTGGGGAGTAGAAGTTAAACAGTAACACAAACACAATGCATTTTTCAACCTTGGAATATTTTTATGTGTCTGGCTTTGTGCTCTATGCAAGAAGCAAAAATGCACTTCACATGTCAACATCCTGCAAATGAGGGGCAACTGCAGTCCTCTAATCCATGTGATCTGTTTGGCATTCCTGTCAAGAATGGATGGGCTATCTCCTTGGTAATTAAATATACCAAGCATGAAATCTATTCAGTTCTCCAAAGTGATTGATTACCAACCTTTGTTTCAGAGTGCTGCAAATACAAAGTGCTTAATAGAATATAATAAAGCTTGTATATCTTTTCTGACATTTATAGAATTCATTGGAGACTTTCAGTAATCATACATGAAGATTGACATTCACTAAAATTTGATGAATGAATATTTAATGTTCCAGTGCATCCGATGCTGAGAAAAACTAATTAGCTCCTGTTTCAATGTGCCACATATGTGAGTTTGCTAAATGTCTACTTTGGTGATAAAGTGCTGGACTTTTTGCTGAATGCTGCAGAATGGTTCCTAGGATTGTGTTTTATGATTGTACTCTACAAAATTCTATACAGTTTTGTATAGAATAACAATATTTCCACTAAGAGTTGTCTCTTCAAAACTGTCTTGGAAATAAAGTGTCGCTAAGTACTATTGTGTAATTCCCTGAAAAGCTATGAACCACATCTGCCGTTTAGCCACAAACTGGTATGACTATTAATGTTAAATAATGGAGATAGATATCCTTAGAGTGATGGATGCCACTGGAAAAGTTCCCAAAGATAAAGTTTCACTACACATACATGCACATAGACAGAAATTAAGTGTCAAGTGCCAAGTGTTTTATCTTAACAAAACCTGTTTTCATAATGCAGTATTTTGGGGGAATTCTTGAAGTATACGTAATGCTGAGAATCTGACATATAGGGATGGATATCTGCTTGGTTCTTATTCTCTGTACTCAACTTCATGCTGATGCCATAACAATATTCTAATTGTTAGTAGTTCACCCAACAACAGCAACAAAAAAACAATATAAGAAAGACCAAATGAAGAATAGGCATGGCAAGACAACATAATACATGGCCAGTACATAAAAAATAGCAGGCAAAGGAGATAACAAGAAGACATGGCAATGGCTAAGAGCAGGAAAATTGAAGGAGAATGAGATAATGGGGCTAATTCAGGCTACACAAGACCACGTCTTAAGAACAAACACATACAAAATCAGAATTGAGAAGACAGCAACAGACAGCAAGTGCCACCTCTGCAAAGAAGCTGAAAAAACAGTGGATAACCTAGTTAACTGCTGCAAGAAGATTGCATAGACTGAGTACAAACAATGGCATGAAAAATAATGGCGCATTGGCATATTTGCAAGAAATAACTTTTGACTGCTAGGAAGAACTGTGAGATCACAAAATAGAAAATGAAGACACTAAAATGCTCTGGGACTTTAGAATTTAATCAGAAAAGCATCTGCCACGTAACATCTCGGACTTAACAATTTTTGGTAAAAAAAAAAAAACTCTGGATAGTGGATCTAGCAGTACCTGGAGACAGCAGAAAGTACTGAAGAAAATCACAAAACACAGAGACCTGCATTTAGAAATAGTACAACTGTGGTAAAAGAAAGCAAAGATAGTACCAATAGTAATAGGTGCCGTGGGTGCAACCCAAAACATCTGGAGCACCATTGGCATTGACAAAATCACCATCAGTCAATTGTAAAAAGAAGCTTTACTCAGAACAGCTTACATCCTGTGATCATTCCTTTAATACCATCAAATAACATCAATCTCTCCTTGGCAAGGATTCTTTATCTTTGGACAATCCAGGATCTAGCAAATGTCTCTTATTTTTACTTTCAGAAGGCTTCCCTAACCCTTCTTGGTTAATTCTACATGGCCATTGCTTATCCAGCTATCTCAAATTCTAGCTCTGATTGAATAAGTCAGTCTTGTATACTTTCTTTGAGTTTTTATGAAACTTATTTTTAACCCCTTCAAAGAGAGTGCCAGAGCTAAGGTTTTGTTTTATTTCCTTTTTTAAGCTAAATAACTTTCAAAACATTAACAGATTCCTTTTGTATACCCAATAAGTAAAGTTTGTTTTTCTTTTGTTTATCACTTCTACTATAGTCCTTTAAGATCTTAATGGAGCTCTTTTGTATATCCAGTAAGAAAGAGTTATCTAAATTTGTTTCCTGGTTCAATAGTTGTACATCTGGTTTAGTGAATAAATCATCCATCAGTTCCATTTGTGTGTCCATATCTTTCTTTATATCCTTCTCATTGCTTATCACATTTAAAATAGTTTCAAAATTATAGTTTCAAAATTATTGCAACCTGTTCTGTTCTGTTCTGTTCATCATGACAAACTGTTAAATTCTTTTAAGTTCATAAGCTTGTAATTATTTTTATTTTTTATCTTTTTTGAAGTTAAACTCACTTGATAAAGACTTTTCAAAGTTGTTGTTCTAAAGGTCTCCAACACTTTTAGTTTTAAGGTGATTAATAGGCAATTTCCAAAAGTGATTAGAATGTGAGCCTTGCAAACTTAACTGTCCTTTAAAAAGCTCCACTTTAGTTGCAAGGGAGATGGCTAATTCCTTCATTTCCTGGTGCTCAAACCTGCAGAAGACTTCCATCCTGTAGTGATCTCCTGACAAGGAGCAGCCATCTGGAGCACGTGTATGATCTCCATCCTCTCCTCAGCTGAACAACCAGACTACTCACTGGTACTTTGGCTTTTGCCACAACCATCTGCTTCACTTTCACACTGTGCCTCCCTCAGAAGTCAGTCTTTCTCTCTTTCCAACTCTTCCCTGAATCAAGGAACAAAGACTGAAATAAAAGAAAATGAAGATTGAAACTGTCCTATCTGTATCAGACAAAGAGATGACAGTGGGCCTGGATGTGGGGCAGCATCTGGCGGATATGCAGAACATTTCTATTTGTTTCTTTTATTCCACTTGGGGAAAGAATCTAATACATGAAAGGGTTTTTCATGTGTCACTGAAAAAAAAAAACCCAAGAGGTCTTGTAAACTTCCTCCATCTTTGAAGTATAATTCCTGGTTTTATAATAAGGTAAAAATCAGTAGAAGTACTGTATAAAATCTCTTGTTTATGTGTTTGTGTGGGTGTGTGCATGCACGCACATGTGTGTGCAGTATGTGTGTGTGTGTAAGAGAATACTATACCTTTATGCAACATCAATAACTTTATAAAGTTTCTTGGAATATACGTAGCAATTAAATGGATATGCTATGGAGCTATTTACAAGCATATATATTGTTTGATAATCATTACTAAGAGATAAATTCATTCCAAATACATTAATGTGTTCCAAACAGTTTGCATAACTTTTAAGGAGGGAGGTACTAATACCATAAACCCATTTTTATTAATATATGCTTTTATTATTTTTTTCTCAGAATGTTACTAAGTGTAACTAAGAATCAGATTTATGAAGTGGAAACTTTTAAGTCCTGCCCTACATAACTCTACCATTTAGCCTCCCTTGCAGTTTAATATTAACAAGTACAGATATGACTTGTTCATCTCTTGAGTGTAATTTTAATTGTTTTATGTTGAGCTTTCCAGCACGTTTGTACAGTTAGCTAAGGACATCCACACCAAGCTGAGATTTTGTAAAATGATGAAAGATTAATACTTATAACAGGAAGAAAGAGCTATGGGGATGAAAAAGCAAACAAGTGATGTATTCTCTTACTCATGTCACAAGGAAACTAAAGCTTGTACCAAATCTTGCTTGAACATTTCCATACTTTTTTTTCCTGAATGCAGAATGGGAATTCCTTTTCTAAAATATAATGGCTTTTTCAGTGTCAATTTTAATAGTGATTGTTTTTCTTGCTGGCGACGCATTGCAATGTTGACTCTATAATTAGGAGGAAGAAGAAATGTATCATGCAATAGTATGTAACTCTTCCCTAAAGGTTAACCTATACGTTAAATGGATTGTGCACATCAAGATATTATTATTTTTAGATCACTGGAGACCTGTAAAAGCTCAGTCCTGACTAAGAGTATCTATTTTTAGGAAAGACTTTTTCCCTAGTCACTTGATTTGCAAGTACTTCTCCCTCACAAGTTGACTGACCCCAAGTTTTTCTTCTTTAAAACTTCCATAGGGAAGAAGAGAAATAGGCAAACCAAATGTGCATAGTGTTGCTATGCTTCTGGTAAAATTCTGATGGACAAGAATTAGAATTTGTTTTGTATTTCTATACCATAATTCATTGGCTGCTTGGATTTTTGCAGCCCAACTATGAAAGTGCTACTAAAGAGGTTAAACCTCTTCCGTTCATGCTTAGAGATCATGATGAAGAACAGGCCTCTGAATCTGCTTTTAATTCATGCTTAGTTGGGGAATTCTGGGAGTTGAAGTCCACACCTGTTAGAGTTGCTAGGGTTGACAAACACAGATGTATACGTATATGTATATGTGTGTGTATATATATTCTGAGGTTTTCGCTGGTGTTTGTATGTAGGTCTTTGGTTATTCGGGTTTTCTCCCGTGTCAAATTGGAAGTGTCTTGGCGACATTTCGACGAAGTCTCATTCGTCATCTTCAGGCTGGTGTTTTCAGCTTCGTGCTTCTAGGAGCAATGTGTGATCGTAGCTGTTTCTTCCTTTTAACTTCTAAAAGGAACTGTTAAAAGGAAGAAACAGCTATGATCACACATTGCTCCTAGAAGCATGAAGCGAAAACACCAGCCTGAAGATGACGAATGAGACTTTGTCGAAACGTCGCCAAGACACTTCCAATTTGATTGAAGATTGCATATTTTCAATGATGCAATCTTCGATCTCCTGGAAGAGTATAATCCAGTTATTTATTGTTAAAACAATATTTAAAACAATAAAAACAGTTATATACAAAATTAAAACAACTTAGCTTTCGCTGGTCCTCTGCCAGTGTCCTCAGAGTGGGGCTTAGGGGGTGGGAAAGTTATTTTTATCCCCTTGCTGATCCAACTGCCTACTCATTGCCCACGTAACAGGGCCACTCTTCCTGATTGCCTGTAACTGCCTTAATTGTTCTGCCCTCTCTTTCCTGCACTCCAACTTTGCATTTTTCTGCTTTGTCATCCTTGTACCGCCTCCTTCTCTCTGCACTGTTATTACCAACACACTCCCCAATCCCTCCTCTCTACCCAATGCAAGGCGCCTCCTCTGATTCAGCACCACATGAGTCCTGCCACAAAGTTCCTCCTTTTTATTCTCCCTGATAGGCTACTGGTCTAACTGCCGTTTTTGCATTCCATTGCCAGTTCCTATCCCATCTCCCTCCTCCAACCCCCCTCCTCTCCTAACCTGCCGATTCATACACCCTTTCTGTCTTCTGTTATCCATTCCTATCATCCCTCCCTTCTCCAATTTTTCCCCTTCCCTAACCTGCCTACTTGTATACCATTCCTGCCTGCCATCATCCTCTCCTATCGCTCTTCCCTTCTCCAGATTTTCTTTCCTCCTGTTCTGTCGGTCCACCTGCTGTTCCTGTTTCCCATCATGCCTTCCTATCAACCGTCCTCTCTCCGGTAGTTTGTTTCCCCTCCTTGGTCTGCCGATCTCCCTGCTGTTCATGTCCTGGCAAAAGTGAGAAAGAGCCTGCGGCCTAGAGGTTAACACAACGGCCTAACATGCAGACGGTCCAGGTTCAAATCTCAGAAGGGTATATCTGGTTGAAAAGAACTAAAAAGTTCAAAATAGCTATTCCAGTTCTCCCTTAATTCTTTGCTAGCAATCCAAATTTTAGGAAATATATATGATGTCGCAGTTGCGACTGTTGCCTGTGGATGGCTCTAGTTTGAGCTGATGCAAGGCAAAAGATTTCTCTCTCCCATATTTGGGTTAACAGGGTGTAGCATACAGCACTCTAGATAATTCTCCTCCCCTGTTTCTTCCCTCCCTAACACAGCTGGCAAAAATGAGAAAGAGCCTGTGGCTTAGAGGTTAATACAGCTGCCTAACATGAAGACAGCCCAGGTTCGAATCTCAGAAGGGTATGTCTGGTTGAAAAGAACTAAAAAGTTCAAAATAGCTATTCCAGTTCTCCTTTAATTCTTTGCTAGCAATCCAAATTTTAGAAATATATATGATGTCGCAGTTGCGACTGCTGCCTGTGGATGGCTCTAGTTTGAGCTGATACAAGGCAAAAGATTTCTCTCTCCCATATTTGGGTTAACAGGGTGTAGCATACAGCACTCTAGATACACACACACACACACACACACACACTTAACTGTGATGAAGTCCTATTTAATGGTGATTATTTTTGACATGTATATAGTCTCTTTGTCATATAGATGATGGAGGCATGTAGATGAGTAAATAAGAAAGAGAAGACCTTTTTCAGTGTTTTTAAAATAAACAGTGGTGTGCTGGAGCCAATTCACACAAGCTCATAAGAGTTGAGAATCACATTATTTCTGAAATATATAACAACTTTTCCTTCTATCAAACCTACTATATTTATCCAAAGCTTCATACATTTGCATGATCACTTCATTTGTTTACCATATATCAAGCTACTTTAATTATACATGAGCCTTCTTTCTTAAATCTATCTCAGTCTCTATTTGGGACTAACAGCAGACATCTTTTGCATTGTACACCGACACACCACAACATTTATATCAGCTAGATCAAGCTAAACAGTAAAGGTCAAATATTGCCATTTATTGCATAGATCTTTTTTTTAGTGGTATTGCAGTCTTTTGAAGTTCAGGACAAGTGTATGGTAAAAATAAATAAAATGGGGTAAGTTCTTCCATTCCTTAATTAAATTTCTGGCCACCTAGGATGCCTCAAGAACAAAAGGTTGCAAAGATTGTTCATATAATTAAAAGTTAATTTAACTTTACCCTGAGGGAGCGGATAGATTATATGGCTTTAAAAAAAATTGGAGCTTCAAAAGAGACTGTAGTCCCATGACTGTTGTAAAAATTTCAGCAGGGTGTATACTGACTTTTTTCATGTAGTCAAGTTGTGACTATTTGTTTTACTCCTTTAGGTTTTTTTTCAGTGCCTTGCAGTGATGCTCAATTGTCATCAACTCATGTAGCTTTATTGCATAATGTAGACTTAAACACATTCCCAGCTCTTCTTGGGAATGCAGTTTGTCACATGTACCATACAATCTTTACCTGGAAAAAAGATGATAGATTTGGTGCGAACAGCCTAACCTGCATAGGAAACCAGTGTAGTTAAGCACTTTAAAGTGATACCTTTATAAGATGCGTTTAGGTTACAAGTTTCAATATGGAAACTGAACATATACTGTAAATAATGCTGAACAGCCTCCATGGGTGGCTGGAGAAAGTGGATGGGGAAAATTTCTTTATTATTATTTGTTAAATTTATTTGCTATAAATTTGTTAAATTTATCACACTAATGTAGATGGATTTAAAGAAGAATTGGACAAATTCGTGGAGGTGTGTTTATTAAGGACTAGTCTTAAAAAAAATCAGTGTTAGCTCCAGGTAGGGATGGCATCTAATTATTGGAGACCAGTGGTTGGGGAAACTCTTAGCTCTCAGTCTTCATCTTCTGCTTAGGAGTCTCTTACAAGAATTTTGTTGGCCACTATGAGAAACAAAATCTTGGACTAGAATGAATTTTGCCTGTTCTTACTAGGCTAGGCTTACATTCTTACTTTTTGTAAATGGAGCCTTTATGTAAACAGGATCGTTGATTATGTGGAACAATATATGGTTTTCTATAATTATATATTCCATTTCTTCCTCTTGGCAATCACACAGAGTCTTGTGGATAGTAACTTGAAAATTTTTACATTCAGTTACAGCAAGGTTGCGTTATCTGATGATTTAAAAAAAACACATAATTTGCGATACATATTCTCAATAAAATGGTAAATGATACTGATTACAAGAGTTGTTAAAAGAGGAATAAATAGTTGTTCCAAATGAAATGAGCACAATATAATTGTAAGTCTTTACTATTCATTGACACAAAGAGCCAGCCTATCCTCAGACAGAGAAAAAGAGATTTGGATCTCTCCTAAGATAATAGTCTGGGTTATTGTTATGATAGTATAAACAGAGGAAGAGGTCTGTCTCCCCAGTTAATAACTATAGATAACTGGCTGTCTCCTGCGTCAGTGTGCCTTGACTCAATAAAAGCAGTAAGTCAGGCTCAACATTGTTCCGTCACCATGCTGCCTGGGGCCATTGTTTTTCAATTTCTCGCCTAACACTGTTAAACTTTTAAGAATATAAATTTCCTTGCAGGGCTATATTATCCTGCAAAGACTTTGTTCATTGAAAAGAAATCACTTTCTCTTGTCTCTTCAGCATCCAGCAACAGAAAAGACCATGTGGTCCAATAGCCTGGAGTTTTTCTTGTTTGAACCTTCTGTCCTTATGCCTGGGGTGGAAAGTACATGACCCAATTATTCAAGTTTCCGGAAAATTCTGAAGAATGGAAACTTACCCAAGGTTCAAAGTGATTTTCATTTTAAAATAAGGTATCAGCTTTAAATTCTCCCAGTCAAAAACTTAACTGCATTTTAAAGTATTTTTATAAATATTGAACTCCATAAAGCTTTTTTCCATTTATTTATTTATGAGACTTATATACCGCTTTTAAGTGCAAGCACTCTCTAAGCGGTGTACACCAGTAAGCAATGTATATATATATTTACATTTCCCCCAACAATCTGGGTCCTCATTTTACCTACCTTGGAAGGATGGAAGGCTGAGTCAACCTTGAGCCAGTGAGATTTGAACCGCTGACCTGCTGAACACAATCAGCTAAAGTGGCCTGCAGTACTGCACTCTAACTGCTGCGCCACCTCAGCTCATTTGGCATGTTGGCTAAAAATTGAGTAAAATAACGTCCAATTAATCTCCACTTCAAGCAGTCTCTATTTCTGATGGCTTAGGTAAGCCATATTGCTAGACTTGAAAATGAGTGGAAATAGGTCAGTGGCTGTTTCCAGTCTCCTGAGAGTTATCCCAGATGGAATAGCCTGTGGTAATCATTTATAGAAGTGATTAATTAATGCCAGAATTTCAGCTATTCCTGTTCATCACTCAGTGCTTCCTTATTTCAGGGAAATGTATTGCAACGTGGAAATCAGCAAGCAAAGACTAGAAATTCAGTTACATTTTGGATCACGTTCATCAGAACAGAATAGGGATATCAGACCTGGGCTGAAAAAATATGGACAGGTATATTATATTGAAAATATAATATAAAGTTTTTTTTAAAATGCGAATTAGAATTTCAACCCATTTAATGAAATCTAACTTATTAGGAAATAAGTGCATATAGAATTTGATGACTGTGGTTTCTTGCAAGTCACAACTATTTTCTCTGGAAAGCAGATTTGTCTATATTGTCATTTTGAGAAATATTTTGATGTCTAGCAAAATGAGGGAGTGGCCATGCCATTTTTCATATCCTGGCCATTGCTCCTTAGTAAGATCCTTTGGCTGTAGTATTCATTAAATACTAATAATGGATTGATTCAATGCACAAAAAGAAGCACTAATTATTATATTAAGTATGTTTAAGATTAGAGAATGGGAAACATTGTCAGGTAAAGAGAAAAAGAAATACTCCAGTCTAAAACAATTTATCATAGGAGTGTGACCATAGCACATAAAATTATAGTCTCTGGTTATAAGATGAGTACCTGTCACATAGACATCAAATTAAATTCTAGTAGATATCTCTTTCCATTTTTATTATAAACACATTCCTTTGGAGGAGTAATTCTATTCAATTGAAAATCCACAACAAGATTTAGATTTCTGCAAGAATTAAATGATCAAAAGAGATATTAAATAATTTTGAAAAACTTCTATGAAATGTTTCCGGATTGTTTGTAGGGTCATAAAAATTCACCCTCTCCAAATCAAAACCTGAAGAGAGCAAAAGAGAATATTATAGGAATAGATAGAAACAAAATCAAATAAGGGATCTGACCATTTCAGTGTCAGTACATAAACTAATTATTTTTAGATCCCTGTAAATTAAATTTCCTTGTATTTTCAACAATCTCTCGTATTCCAATCAGTATCATTTGCATACATCTGAATTTTAGGACTCAATTTTTATTTTTGGCTCATGGGATTGCATAGTAAATGTTATTCAGATCCTCCAACCCTTGTTGTAACAGTATTTTGAGTCTATAGGTGTGCTGTCCCACTCACTCACACACACACACACGTAACTATGGTTTAGTGGGTTTATTAATATTCCCCAGCAATTTCTTTCACCAAAAACCCAGAACTGTTTCAATTAAGTCCAGCCACGAGCAGACCAATACTAGTCCACAGAGCAATGCCAGAGACTTCACAAGTCACTTGAAAGTTTCTCAATCAAAATAAATCCATTAGGGAAACTTAAATCCATAACACAAGAGAGTTTATGAGGCAAGAAAAGTCCAGAGTTTCCAAGGCACGATCTAAGTCAAGGCACAATGTCAGTCCAATCAAGGCAGGAATCATGACAACAAGAAAATACAAGCTAAGAAACAAATATGTTGTTCCCAGCATTACCTCCATCTGTTTGCTGTGCTAAATAGCCAGCTTCCAGTGCAGCCCATCAAGAAGGGCGAGGCTTTCTCCTCACAAGTAATCTGACTGACCTTCTTTGCTCCTGCCTTTTCTCTGCCCTATGTATTCTTGCATCTGGTGCAGAAGGCAGTTCCTCTTCCTCATCCCTGACCAACTGCAGCTGCATGTTTTCCCTACCTGGAGTCTCAGGACTGTTCTACTGTAGCTATGCTTCAGCCAAATCCCTCACAGAATATTAATCCCTATCAATCAACTCAGCTCCTGACATGCCAAGAACTGGTTCATCCTCTCCTGAGTTGACATCTAGAGAGGTATTAAGCAAATTCAGTATATCCAATGCATATTTTATACCGTTTTATGCCAGAAAATGGCAAAAAGTTGCAAATTATGGTCACATAACTGCGGGATGCTGTAACAAGTTCTAAATCATTAAAAAAAGTACTTTTAAAAAAAATCTGAGTCAAAATTTTATCAACTTATAATTTGTAGATGATCCCTTTCAGATTTGCATATGTGAGTGCATTATTTCTTACATTTCTGCAAAAAAGAGAAAAATACATATAGATATATGAAAATTTTGTCACATATTAAAATTTTGGCATATACCCCATGGGGAAAAATAGAAGGGGGAAGGTGTGTTAGATATGTTCACTGTCTTGAGTTATTTGTAAAAATAATAAAGGCAGGATGCAAATAAATACATAAACAAAATGTCCAATAATGAAACATAGATTGATCTAAATTATAAAAGTTTAAGAAGCCAAATGTTACCTTCTTTAGTGTTGAACTTAAAATTAATCCATCAAAATGTTTATGGAGATTCTCAGTCATCCAGGTCATGGCTGTCTCAAAGGTGTTTTGTCAAAAGGTAACTGGACTTTCTTTGTTTTTCCTTGAAGACATTTTGCTTCTCATCCAAGAAGCTTCTTCAGTTCTTCAGTCAGAACTGAAGAATGGCTGAGAAGTGAACCATTTTCAAGGAAAAATAAAGAAAGTCCAGTTGCCTTTAGAAAAAGCACCTTTGGGACAAACCATCAAAAATATTTTATTCTGAATCTATTTAGTTCCTCAAATAATGTAGCAGAAAAGATGGCTGTAAATTTCTTTGTCGACATTAACTCATGATTTGGTAATGTTTGTCCAAATGTCCAGCTTTGATTTATTTTTGGAAGAATATTGTAACAAATATAAATAATACATAAATGTTTGAATCTGTAACTTGAAAATATTTACCCAGTGTTATTCCAAAATTATGGAGGTTGACCATTTTTTAGAAGCAGTGACTTTATCACTAGGACAATAGTTCAAAATAATTCTTGAGAGACTGAAAAAACAAGATTATTATATAAATATCAAACACTGGATTCAAGAAAGAATATTGTATTCATTTTTAAAAGGGACTTTTTCCCCCTGCTAATCCAATGCCCCCCTTCACTATTGATGATTAGAATGCAGTATTGCATGCTAATTCTGCCCACAGCCTGGAGTTCAGTCTTGACACGGCCTTCCATCCTTCCAAGGTCAGTAAAACGAGGACCCAGATTATTGGGGACAATATGCTGACTCTGTAAACCACCCAGAGAGTGCTGTAGGCAGCAGGCCCCACCCTTTGCGGCTTGGCATTCTGGCTGAGTTGAAGGAGAGGGGAACCAGGCTGTGAGAGCAGCCTGATTGCAAATTGGCTGTGGCCCGGTAGTTGGGGACCCCTGCTGTAAAGCATTATGGTGAGGCATGAAAGTCTAAGTGCTCTTGCTCTAATACAGGGGTCTTCACACTTGGCCCTTTTATGACTTGTGGACTTCAACTCCCAGAATTCCTCAGCTAGGCATGCTGGCTGAGGAATTCTGGGAGTTGAAGTCCACAAGTCATAAAAGGACCAAGTGTGAAGACCCTTGCTCTAATACAATTGTCAAAGATTTCATAATATTTTACCAGAACAGGTAAAATACAACTTGACATATTATTGCATAAATGATTTATTATATAATTAGGTGATTTGTGTTAATACATTAATATTTTTCAGTTTATATTTTTTTAATTTTAATATCGTTTTGGTATTAGTTTTATAGTTAATTAATTTGATGAATATTTACTGTGTTTTTTTAAAAAAATCATTTTTTTTGTAGTTCTCTTTTAAACATTGCTGTAAAATTGTAAATATAGTATAGACATTTTACAATTACAGATATTTCATCATCTTGGATGTTTTCTGGCAAGTCAGTCTTTGAACTGTCCTTTGATCCTGCATGGCCTTTCACAGAATTCATGCAACAGAATTAAGTTTAATGTTTGGAGTTTGTATGAAAGAATATACCGTATGAATTGCTTTCCATTATTACACTTTCACAAGTGGAGTTTGGAAGCTAAATTATATTCCCAATTCTTTGTACATTAACCAAAAGGGGGGAAAATTGAAAAATTATGAGGCAGTTCAACCAGTGACTTGTTGGATGTGCTGTTCCCATAATATGATCTGTTTTCATTACCACTGGGTGAGAAGAAGCCATTCATAATCTAATGGGATTTTTGATAAGATTAGAACAGATTTACATCTGGATGATATCTTTGCAATATCCCGTAATGTAGTATTTAATTTTTAATTAAAGACTTTGAAACCAAAATGTAGATATTTCATATCAAAACTAAATAAGCAGAGTGCACATTTCACATTTTCGCCAGTCTATAGCCAAGGCTAACTGCCAACAAATATTCAACAGAAGTTAATTGTAGCCATGTGGGTTAGTGATGCCCCATTACCCGTACTAGACAGTATGCCTTCCTCTCCATATTTCCTCATTTTGAGCCAGGACAAATATAAAAGGCCTTTCCTTGAACACAGCTGATGGAAGCCAGATTTCTGCATGCTTGTACAATGACTTCATGAATCCTTTAAGAAGATAAATTTTACAGCTGGGTTTAATTACAAGCAGTATATTCTTTCTTTGAAAATAAATTGTTTGTGAATTGGAACTTATGCAATATCCTATTCAGTTTATTTTTATAAGGCCTGCTTGAAGGGAAGCTATAGCTATAAGGGCAAAAAAATATATATCTAAGAATTACTCCCTGGTGCCAGAACAAAAAAGATTGCATACCTGCTAGGTTATACCCAATTTTAGATGCAGTAGTCCTATGCAATTTTTATGAGTCGATCCCATTAACAGAGATTTCTGACTAAAAATTCATAGGATTGCATTGTTGGATTATTTACCATCGCTGCTGTTTTGCCTTTAACCAAGTACCCTTTTTAACAAATTTCTCCAATATTATTATATTTTTTTAAACTATTCTAATCCAATACCGTTCTATTTCTATTAAATACCATACTATTAAAATACCATTTTTGTGTACTCCATCACCAAAATATAGGTACGTATTTTGCAAGCAATACCCATGTTGATTCCTCTAAACTATTTTAAATAAATGCATAGATTAATAGTCAATTTTTTAACAGACAGAATTATAGGGAGTTAGAATAAGACTCAGAATGCATTTCATTCATTCATTCATTTGTTTGTTTATATATTTATCATGTTTAGAGACTGCCCAACTCTCAGGCGGTATACAAGTAGACATAAAAACATAAAAAAATGTATATAGACATTATAATAAAACAGTTAAAAATAAGAATAAAATAATTACAATTC